TTAATTAAGCATTGTTCATCCCTCTAACCCTGGTTTGAAGTTATCACACAACAAAACCTGTCACTTCCAGGAGTGATTATTCCAGGAGTGATTATTCCAGAAGATTATCCAGAAAATTCTGATGCTGAGCTGTTAAAAATTCAGATATCTCTGCCACTGGCAGCACTGGGGAGAGAAATGCTAATTTAGGCCCGAGTTTATATAATTTCTAAGCAAATTGAATCTGATTTCACATCACTTTGATCCAACTGCCTTTTGAAAAAAAATATAAAATAAAATTGCCAATCCAAATTCAGTCTGGAGAAGGCAGGATATGCTAATGGATGTCATTAAATTCTTGGGGGATTTAAGTGTCCATTTTAAACAATTCTTTCTGCATTTTTTTTTAATAGGAGCCCAAGGATAGCAGAGTTTATTCCTTCCCTGATATTTTTATGGTTCAGTTTGGGAAAATTTGAGGTGCTGGGACTCACCAGTTTCCATTGTTGGTGCTGCTGACRATCCCAGCTCCCGGATCCTGCAGGAATTTGGGGAAGATCTGTCCCTCATGAGCTCCCCGGAGCAGAGTGAAGCCTGAGCTCATAATTCCCTGGGAAATTCCAGCTGAGCCTGGAGGAAATGAGTTTTCTAGAATTTAGGGATGCCTCCAAAACCATCCCTCGTTTGGGATTTGCTTAAATGCAAATCCCYGGATCCGTGTTTGAGCCCCATTTGCATGGTCAGAGCGGATCCTTCCCCAGGAGCTCCTTCCTGCCCAAACTGATGGCTCACGGATGGAAACAGAGGTTTATTGRCAGAAAAACTTGGCTTGGAGGGAAATTCGGGCAAGGAGGAGTGATTTCCTTACAGGTGAGGGATGAATGTGGCTGGAAAAATAAAAAAAAAAAATCAGGTTTGGGATGAGCATCTTCTGCTTTGGGAGAGTGAAATCCTCCATGAGCTGTCGAGGCCTCACTTTTGGGCAGGAATTCAGGAATTCTGCTTTTCTGGGAGAATTTCTGGGAGAAGAGGGCTGGGCTGGGCTTTGCAAAACTAAAACTGTGCCTTGGATTTTTGTATGAATATGTCATGAATTTTGATATAAAAATGACTCAATTTGGCCCTTTTGCTCTTTCCTGGTACCCAACATCTGCCAGGGTTCCTGGCAGGTATCAGCACCTTGCCCAATATATGGATTTTTTTATAAATATATGAATTTTTGTATAAATATATGGATTTTTGTACAAATGTATGGATTTTTGTACAAATATATCATGAATTTTTATATAAAAATGACTCAATTTTGTCCCTTCTGCTCTTTCCTGGTACCCAACATCTGCCTGGGTTTCTGGCAGGTAACAGCACCTTGCCCAATATATGGATTTTTTGTATAAATATATGGATTTTTATATAAATATATCATGAATTTTGATATAAAAATGACTTAATTTTGGTACCCAACATCTGCCGGGGTTCCTGGCAGGTAACAGACGGGGCAGGAGGCACCAGGTGGGTCCTGGCAGATGGAAAATGGCACAGAAAGCGTTGCTTTGTGGGTTGTGCTTGCCAGCTGCCTCCTGGCACCGATTTTTGTCTCTCAGGGCGGATATTTGTGTACTTTGGGGAGGATATTCGAGTTAAATCCCAGCTCTGATCTCTGTCTGGCCGGTCCAGGTGTTTTCTGTGCCGATTGTAAAGAAATGACACCGAAAACAACCAAACAGGGATGAAACAAAAGCACAGCCCGATGAAAATCTGCTTTCTTTGAGATAAAAATCCCTTACCTYAYGCTTTCTTTTCAAAAAATCATCCCRCCCAGATTTTCTGGCCAGTTTGGTGGGTTTGGGGAAGTGTTTTCTGTTCATATCTGGGGTGTGTGGTGGGATTTGCAGAAGTCATTGTGTGCTGACACGGCACGTTCTGTGCAGCCCCTTTGATTTTAAAAAGGCTTTTTTAATTTTAAAAAGGCTTTTTTTTAAACCTGTGCCAAAGCAAACGTTGGGAATTGTTCCTCTGCTTTGTGTAACAGAAGAGCCCGGGACGGCAGATGGAAGAGGAAATGTGTATTTAATTCAAATTTTAATCTGTCCGCTGATGAACGAGCAAAGAATTTGTTGAATTGAATTTGTTGAATTGAATTTATTGAATTGAATTTGTCGAATGTGTTTGTTGGAGGAGCTGCAGAACCCTTGGGTTTTGTGGTCAGTGTTGGCTGGGATGGATTTTCAGCGTGAGGACTCTTGTTTGGGCAAGGAATTGTTCTGGAAGCACCAAAAATTTAAATGAAAATCATGGAATGGTTCGGGTTGGAGGGACCTTAAAGCCCATCCAGTGGGCAGAGACATCTTCAACTGTCCCAGGGTGCTCCAGCCTGGTCTTGGACACTTCCAGGGATCCAGGGCAGGCACAGTTTTTCAGTGAGAAGCGGTCCTGGTTCCCGGGATGTTTGTTTTTTGGTGGTTTTTTTTTGTCCCAAATTCGATCGGGAATTAATCCCCGGAATGACCCCGAGCCCCGACAGGAGCTCTGTAGGAACCTTTGTCACCCAGCGCCGTTTCCCGCCGGGCGCTCTGGAGCGATCGCGCACCCCGCGGGTTCCATGCGCGCTGATTGGCTGGCGGGCGCGCGGCGCCGGCTGTGATTGGCTGTGGCGGGGCGGGCGCGGCGGTCCGTCGCGTTCCGGGGTCCCCCGCGGGGCTAAGGCGGGCGGAGCGGCGGCGGCGGGGCCGCGTCCCCTCTGTCCCTAAACTGTCCCTGAACTGTCCCTAAACTGTCCTCAAATTGTCCCCACTGTCCCCGCGCTGTCCCCAAACTCTCCCCGAACCTCTCGGGTCCCGCCGGGCTCGGGGCCGGTTCCATCCCCGCCATGGCGCCCGCCAAGGCCGGCGGGAAGGGGACCGTGGTTCTGCAGTGCGAGTGGCAGCAGTGCTCCTTCGTGGCCTCGGAGATGGAGGAGTTCTGCGGGCACGTGAAGCAGCACCTGCAGCAGCACCTCCCTGGCGAGCAGCGGCAGGAGATGGACCCGCTGGGTGAGGCGCTGGAAAAGGAGGATTTTTTTTGGGATATTTTATGAGGGGATTTTGTGGTGTCTGACAGGAGGGGACAGCCGGGGGAGACAGCACAGACCTGTGCTGCCAAGGTACAACAGGACAAGAAAAACATCGTCAAATTGTGCCAGAGGAGGAGATTCAGGGTGGACATGGGGAGTTTTTCCAAGGTCAGGCCTTGGCAGGCGCTGCCCAGGGAGGTTTGGAGTGCCCGTCCCTGGAGGTGGCACCGAGTGCTCTGTTCTGGTGACAAAGTGGGGAAAGGGCACAGCTTGATCATCTTGGAGAGCTGCTCCAAMCTAAATAACTCTGTGATTTTCTGACAAGTGAAAGCTTCTGGGGTTTTTTATCCTCTCCCTGTGGAAAGCAGTGCTGCAGGCCTGGGATCTCAGGGAAACACACTCGGAGAGTAAAGGGCTTTGGAGAGCAGATTGGCTTGGAGAGGCCCTTAGATCTCTGGTTTTGGGGTGCAGAGGGGCCATTTGGGATTCACAGGAGTTGTTTGGGGTGCCCAGGAGCCATTTGGGGTACAGAGGATCTGTTTGGGGTGCAGAGGAGCCATTTTCTTGTGTTGCAGAGGGCCATTCGGGGTGCCCAGGAGCCGTTTGGGGTGCCCAGGAGCCATTTGGGGTGCAGAGGAGCCGTTTCCTTGTGTTGCAGAGGAGCCATTTGGGATGCCCAGGAGCCGTTTGGGGTGCCCAGGAGCTGTCTGGGGTACAGAGGAGCCATTTGGGATGCACAGGAGCCATTTGGGGTACCCAGGACCTGTCTCCTTGTGTTGCAGAGGAGCCATTTGGGGTGCCCAGGAGCCATTTGGGGTGCCCAGGAACAGTTTGGGGTGCATAGGGGACATTTGGGGTTGCCCAGAAGCCATTTAAGGTGCCCAGGAGCTGTCTCCTTGTGTTGCAGAGGGGCTGTTTGGGGTGCCCAGGAGCCATTTGGGGTGCCCAGAAGCCATTTAAGGTACCCAGGAGCCATTTAAGGTGCCCAGGAGCTGTTCCTTGTGTTGCAGAGGAGTACACGTGCCTGTGGCAGAACTGTGGTTTCTGCTCCCCGGCGAGCTCCGCTGACCTGGTGCGCCACGTCTACTTCCACTGCTACCACACCAAGCTGAAGCAGTGGGGGCTGAGGGCCCTGCAGAGCCAGGCAGATGTCAGCCACTGCCAGCTGGACTTCCAGAGCCGGAATATCATCCCTGAGATCCAGGAGAACTTCCTGTGCCTCTGGGAATACTGTGAGGTGAGAGCAGGGGGAAGGGGTGGTGCTGCTGTGCTGCAGTTTCCCTGCACAGCTGGACACATGCACAGCTGGCTGCTGGCTCTCTCTGGAACAGCATCTGAGCTGCTTTTGATCCCTTCCCCCTGTCCTGTGTGTCCTTTTTCCCCTCAGAGGTCGTTTGACAACCCCGAGTGGTTCTACCGGCACGTGGAGGATCACAGCTTCTGCTCCGAGTACAAGGCAGCAGGGAAGGAGAACCACGTGGTGATGTGTGGCTGGAAAGGTTTGTGGGGGGCTGCAGGGCTTCTTCAGAGGGTTTTGTGGCAAACATGGTCGAGGAGAAGAGGTTTCAGAGAGCCCCTTGATCTCCAAAAATAGGCGTGTGCATGTTTTTGATAGTGAAATGTTCCTGCAGAGTTTCCTTTGGGGAATCCAGTTTAGTGCTGAGTCTTGAATTTCCCATTTCTATGTAATCAGTACCTTGGAGAAAAAGCCACTGTTTATTTATTTNCCCGCCGGGCTCGGGGCCGGTTCCATCCCCGCCATGGCGCCCGCCAAGGCCGGCGGGAAGGGGACCGTGGTTCTGCAGTGCGAGTGGCAGCAGTGCTCCTTCGTGGCCTCGGAGATGGAGGAGTTCTGCGGGCACGTGAAGCAGCACCTGCAGCAGCACCTCCCTGGCGAGCAGCGGCAGGAGATGGACCCGCTGGGTGAGGCGCTGGAAAAGGAGGATTTTTTTTGGGATATTTTATGAGGGGATTTTGTGGTGTCTGACAGGAGGGGACAGCCGGGGGAGACAGCACAGACCTGTGCTGCCAAGGTACAACAGGACAAGAAAAACATCGTCAAATTGTGCCAGAGGAGGAGATTCAGGGTGGACATGGGGAGTTTTTCCAAGGTCAGGCCTTGGCAGGCGCTGCCCAGGGAGGTTTGGAGTGCCCGTCCCTGGAGGTGGCACCGAGTGCTCTGTTCTGGTGACAAAGTGGGGAAAGGGCACAGCTTGATCATCTTGGAGAGCTGCTCCAAMCTAAATAACTCTGTGATTTTCTGACAAGTGAAAGCTTCTGGGGTTTTTTATCCTCTCCCTGTGGAAAGCAGTGCTGCAGGCCTGGGATCTCAGGGAAACACACTCGGAGAGTAAAGGGCTTTGGAGAGCAGATTGGCTTGGAGAGGCCCTTAGATCTCTGGTTTTGGGGTGCAGAGGGGCCATTTGGGATTCACAGGAGTTGTTTGGGGTGCCCAGGAGCCATTTGGGGTACAGAGGATCTGTTTGGGGTGCAGAGGAGCCATTTTCTTGTGTTGCAGAGGGCCATTCGGGGTGCCCAGGAGCCGTTTGGGGTGCCCAGGAGCCATTTGGGGTGCAGAGGAGCCGTTTCCTTGTGTTGCAGAGGAGCCATTTGGGATGCCCAGGAGCCGTTTGGGGTGCCCAGGAGCTGTCTGGGGTACAGAGGAGCCATTTGGGATGCACAGGAGCCATTTGGGGTACCCAGGACCTGTCTCCTTGTGTTGCAGAGGAGCCATTTGGGGTGCCCAGGAGCCATTTGGGGTGCCCAGGAACAGTTTGGGGTGCATAGGGGACATTTGGGGTTGCCCAGAAGCCATTTAAGGTGCCCAGGAGCTGTCTCCTTGTGTTGCAGAGGGGCTGTTTGGGGTGCCCAGGAGCCATTTGGGGTGCCCAGAAGCCATTTAAGGTACCCAGGAGCCATTTAAGGTGCCCAGGAGCTGTTCCTTGTGTTGCAGAGGAGTACACGTGCCTGTGGCAGAACTGTGGTTTCTGCTCCCCGGCGAGCTCCGCTGACCTGGTGCGCCACGTCTACTTCCACTGCTACCACACCAAGCTGAAGCAGTGGGGGCTGAGGGCCCTGCAGAGCCAGGCAGATGTCAGCCACTGCCAGCTGGACTTCCAGAGCCGGAATATCATCCCTGAGATCCAGGAGAACTTCCTGTGCCTCTGGGAATACTGTGAGGTGAGAGCAGGGGGAAGGGGTGGTGCTGCTGTGCTGCAGTTTCCCTGCACAGCTGGACACATGCACAGCTGGCTGCTGGCTCTCTCTGGAACAGCATCTGAGCTGCTTTTGATCCCTTCCCCCTGTCCTGTGTGTCCTTTTTCCCCTCAGAGGTCGTTTGACAACCCCGAGTGGTTCTACCGGCACGTGGAGGATCACAGCTTCTGCTCCGAGTACAAGGCAGCAGGGAAGGAGAACCACGTGGTGATGTGTGGCTGGAAAGGTTTGTGGGGGGCTGCAGGGCTTCTYCAGAGGGTTTTGTGGCAAACATGGTCGAGGAGAAGAGGTTTCAGAGAGCCCCTTGATCTCCAAAAATAGGCGTGTGCATGTTTTTGATAGTGAAATGTTCCTGCAGAGTTTCCTTTGGGGAATCCAGTTKAGTGCTGAGTCTTGAATTTCCCATTTCTATGTAATCAGTACCTTGGAGAAAAAGCCACTGTTTATTTATTTYTTATTTTAATTTTYTTCARTMATTTCTCCTGAATGTCTTCACKGCTGYGGGGGGACCGTGCTGGTTGTGCTGTGRTGATCCCACCCTGCTCTGTGAGATTTTTGGAGCTTTGCCAGCCAGAACAGGAGGCAGGAGCCGATTGTTCAGTGAGGCTGTGGCTCCTGAGCCAGGGGTGAAGTTCTCAGTTGTGCTGTCCCTCCCCAGACTGTGACTGCAGCTTCAAGGGGCGCTGCAAACTGCGGGAGCACCTGCGCAGCCACACGCAGGAGAAGGTGGTGGCCTGTCCCACCTGCGGGGGGATGTTTGCCAACAACACCAAATTCTTCGACCAYATCCGCCGCCAGACAGCCCTGGACCGTAAGCCTGGGGGCAGGGAGGGTTTGGGGAGCCCTGGGGATTGGAAATTTGGGTGTGCCACCTCTCCTCACTGCTCTCCGTGCTGTTGTCTCTGCTCTGATCTCTCCTGTCCCCACCCCTGTCCCCCTCGCTGTCCCCGCTGCTGCAGAGCAGAGGTTTCAGTGTTCCCACTGCTCCAAGAGGTTTGCCACCGAGAGGCTGCTCCGTGACCACATGAGGAACCACGGTGAGTGTTTTTCAGTGATTTCTCCTGTGTCTGTGTGAGTTTTTTTCAATAATTTCTTCTATGTTTGTGTGAGTTTTTTTCAGTAAATTCTCCTATGTTTGTGTGAGCTTTTTCCAATAATTTCTCCTGTGTTTGTGTGAGGTTTTTTTCAATAATTTCTTCTGTGCTTGTGTGAGTTTTTTTCAATAGTTTCTTCTGTGCTTGTGTGAGTTTTTTTCAGTAATTTCTTCTGTGTTTGTGTGAATTTTTTTCAGTAATTTCTCCTGTGTCTGTGTGAATTTTTATCAATAATTTTTCCTGTGTTTGTGTGAGTTTTTTTCAATGATTTGTCCTGTGTCTGTGTGAATGCTTTCTCTGCTGTGAGGGTACAGCAATGGTTGTGCTGTGGTGATCTCGCCCTGCTCTGTGGGGTTTTGCCCAGCCTCTGTGAGCTCTGCCCTGCTTTGGGGTGACGCCTCCCCCATTCTGTGCCCAGTGAACCACTACAAGTGCCCTCTGTGTGACATGACCTGCCCGCTGCCCTCCTCCCTGCGCAACCACATCCGCTTCCGCCACAGCGAGGAGCGYCCCTTCAAGTGTGACTACTGTGACTACAGGTGAGGGCCAGAGCTGTCCCTGTCCCCAGTGCCACCTCAGTGTGTGTGTGTTTGTGCTGCAGCTTTGCTCTCTCACCTTCTCACAGCTGCAAGAACCTGATAGACCTGCGGAAGCACCTGGACACGCACAGCAAGGAGCCGGCGTATCGCTGCGAGTTCGAGTCCTGCAGCTTCTCTGCGCGCTCCCTCTGCTCCATCAAACTGCACTACAGGAAGGTGCACGAGGTGGGAAGGCAGCAGGGTTTGTGTTGCTGTGCTCCCTGCTGTCAGTGTGCTCACAGAGCCCCGTGTTTCCTGCCGTGCCCTGGTGTGGGTTTGTGGGGTGCTGATGTCACTCTCGCTGTCCCCCAGGGTGACTCGGAGCCCCGGTACAAGTGCCACGTGTGTGACAAGTGCTTCACGCGGGGGAACAACCTCACTGTGCACCTCAGGAAGAAGCACCAGTTCAAGTGGCCCTCGGGACATCCTCGTTTCAGGTAGTGCCCACCCTGAGCTCCTCAACACCCCCTCCCCAGTGCGAGACACAGCTGGGACTGCGTCCTGTGTTGTGCTGGAGCAGAGATCTGGCAGTGCTTGGGCTCTGATGGGCTCCAGCCCCATTTCCCAGTGGCTGGGAGGCTCTGGGCACTAAACCTGCAGTGGGATCTGGCAGATCCGGGGCAGTGGTGCCATCACAGCTCTGTGGTGTGACACTTCAGAGCCCAGCAGGGGCCATGTGTCCCCCTCTGATTGCTGAGATTGCTGCATCCTCTCTGAGACGCTCCAGAGGGTTTCCAGAGCCCAAAAGCTGTCAGGGGAAGAGGTGGAGCAGAGGGGTTTGAAGGAGATGGGCTGGGGAGGTGATTGAGGCCTGGCATGAAGCTCAGAGGCTGCCATGGGGTGTGTGGGTTTGGGGCTGGGGGCTGAGGGGCAAATCTGTGCAGCACAGGGCACTGAAAGCTGSGGTGCTGTGCCCTGGGAAGGGCAGAGTGCCCGGCTGACCCCCTCCCGTGTGCCCCCAGGTACAGGGAGCACGAGGATGGCTACATGAGGCTGCAGCTGGTGCGCTACGAGAGCGTGGAACTGACAGAGCAGCTGCTCAAGGACAGGGAGAARCGTGGCGAGGCTCTGGATGGCTCCRGYGAGTGCCTGGTGCTGCCCGAGGGCGAGGGCAACCTGCAGGGCATCCTTCTGGAGCCACCAGCAMCCCCTGCCCCRGCAGAGAGCGGCGTGTCTGAGCCAGCCCCAGCCCTGTGCTCTGCTGGCAGCCCTGAGCCACGGCCCCTGGCAGCTGCCTCCTCCTCCTCCTCCTCCTCCTCCTCCTCCTCGGAGCAAGGAGCCAGCGCTGCCGGCAGCCCCATCATCCAAGTGGTGAACAGGACCAACGAGCAGGGCCACAGCGAGACTGTCTATTACGTGATGGCCAGCACAGCCTCGGAGGAGCAGGGCACGGGGGCAGGGCTGCCCGTGGAGMTGGAGGAGAACGTCATGGACAGGCTGCAGAAAACGGCGGAGGAGCTGGGCATCCAGATCGTGTGAGGGGATGAGGAGAACTCGGGCTCTGTGGCAGGAGACCTTGGGGAGGTGGCTGGGCTTGCCTTCCCCAGCCTCGCCTCGCTGGGTGCTGCTTCTGGGGACAGGGGGGTGTCCCAGGTGTGAATCGAGTGGTCTGAGCTGGAAAGAGTTGTCTGTGGGGGAGTAGGGATTTTCAGGCTGCTGCCAGCCTCGCAGGAGGTTTGGCCTGGCCTGGCAGGGTGAGGTGTCACCAGCTGTGCCCTTGCTGAGTGTTCCCCTGGCAAGAGGGGGTGTGGAGCACAGGCTGGGGCTCTAGCCTCTCCCCTGGGGGGATATGTGGCCCCAACAGGCCTGTCCTGCCCCGTTCTCTCTCCCCATGCCTTCATCAGCACTTCTGCACATCGTTTTGTGTCTCGCCTGGTGCTGGGAATGGTGTTTGCCTCACTGATCCCATAACCAGTGCTGCTCTCTGCMGCTGCTGTCCCTTGCAGGCCACTGCAGCACTGGCACATGGGGAGCTTCTTGCTGCTTTTGTCATCCCCTGGATTTCCTCCCCACATTGGGGTYTGGGCTCCTGGTCGGGTGAAGTGTACTTTGAGAGTGAAATAAAAATAAACCCCAGGCTGCCAGGCCCAGCAGTGTCTGGTGTGTGTGTGTGTGTGTGCCCAGCCCATCCCTGCCAGCTGTGCTGTGGTGGGAGGGTGGCACTGGGATACCTGTGAGGTGTGGGAGGTGGGCACTCAGCTGCCAGGCTCTGCTGGCACCGTGCAGCTGGCACTGGAGGGTGCTGCTCCCCCAAGGAGGCACTGGCAGGCCGGGCTGAGCTCTGGCACTCTGTTCCTGCTCTGGGGTTGGTTTTTGCTGCCTCCCCCGGGGCTGTCTGCTGCCTGCTCAGCTGTTTGAATACAGGGAGTAGCCTGGGCTTGTGAGCAGAGCCAGCTTGTCCCGTGTTGTCCTGGACAAGGACAGTGTGGATTTGGGGTCCCTGGAGTGACATTGGGGCTTTCCCTGTGCCCAGGGGGACTCAGAGRGGCACCTTGCTGGTCTTGACTTTTTCCCCCATTCTCCTTTCTCAAGCAGCAGAACCAAAGCTTTGGAATTGCAGGTTATTGGAGGAAAACACTTGATCCCAGCAGCTCAGGGGGAAGGCAGAGCATTCCTGCCTTGGCACCCAGCGTGGCCTTGCCCAGCCTCGCTGTCCCTGCCTGGCCCCTGCTCCCTGGGCCTTGGCAGAGCTGGGCTCAGGATGCCTTCGAGAGAAGGGCCCCGTGCCAGGTTTGCATTCGCAGCACTCCCAGCCTGGCCCTGGTTCCTGTGCTCCAGAGCCGTGGCTGTGCCTGCATCCTGCTGGGTTTTGCTTTGGGTGTGGGGTCTGGGCGCTGCTGGGAGTTGTCTCTTTAAACAGCGGCTCCGGGCGGGGTAATCTGCCAGAGATTATCTGCTGGGGAGAGGATTGGCATTAAAGACAATGTCTCCTCCCTTCCCCCATRTCCTGAGCATCCCCTGGCCTGGGGGTGTGTGTGGAAACCAAGTTCACTTTCTCCAGGGCGAGCAGAGAGGGGTCTGTGGGTGGAGGGCGAGGGGAGGAGGGCGGATGATGGCCCTGGGCCTCCTCTTCCTCGCCGTGCTGGCCGCGCCGGTCTCCTGCCAGGACCCAGAAGGTAACCAAGGGTTTGGGGGATCAGGGGCTTTGTGGGGTGCCCCAGAGCTGCTGGCACCAGTCCTCCCAGTAAGGAACAAGACCTTTGTCACATCCCTGTGCTGGCACAGGGCAGTGGAAGCCGGGGTCTGAGTGGATACACTCTTCACAGCAAGGGTTGGGGTGGGCTGGGATGAGCTTTTGTGGGCTCCACGCCCTCCCTGTGGGACGGGGCAGCTTTTGGGAACGGTGTCCTCGCCCCCAGCCCAGCCCCAGCCGGCCGTGCCCGCCGTGGCACCACAAGAGCTGGACACCTACTGGTCTGGCACGGCGCCCATCTGCGTSGGGGGCTGCAAGGGCAAGCACAAGGAGCTCAAGAGGAGCCAGTGTGGCAACGGCAGCTGCTGCTGGCTGGGCTACAAGTCCTTCTGCAGAGGTAAAGACCCGGGGGACGGGGGGATCCCCGGGGAGGCTGCAGAGCTTTGTGTCACACGCGKGTGTGAGCTCCTCCAGCAGCCCGGGGCAGGGCAGCCGTGTCCGGGTGGGGCTGTCCCTGTGCCCAGCCCTGCTGCCACGCTCCCCTCCCTGTCCGCAGTGAACTGCGGGCGGCCCGAGGCGGATTTTAACTCGGTGGTGCACGGGAACGACTGGTGGGTGGGCTCGGTGGTGCGCTACAGCTGCCGGCCCGGCTTCGTGCTGCTGGGGGACGCCGCCAGCGCCTGCCAGTCCGATGGCCGCTGGTCCCCCCGGCCCTCCTGCCTCCGTGAGTGTCACTCTGAGCCCCTGTCCCTGTCCCCAATCCTCTTGGCCCCGGAGGGCTCCGGGTGAACGCCCGTGACGGGCTCTGCCCTGCCCCGGCAGGGATCTGCCTGCGGGGCCGCATCGAGATCAGCGAGCGGGACATCACCGGCAAGTGCTCCTCGTCCTGCGGCACCCAGGAGCACCGGGGATCGTTCCTCCACCGCGGCTGCATCAAGATCTCCGCCTGTGTCCCCAAGCAGTCGGGCTGGGCCCGCTGGTTCCAGCGCTGTGACATCTGCGAGTGTGACTGCCATGTGCCCTGCGGTGAGTGCCATGCCCGCTCCCTGCCCGGGGCACGGTGGCACTGGAGATGAGGAACAAACAGCTCCAAATCCGCTGCCTTTGCTCTGCTCACAGGCTCCTCCAGGTAGAGCTGTGGCCTGTTCTGGGGAGGTTTCACCCTGGGCGCTGCTTCCCTTCGCCGCGTGTCTCCACTGCTGTGATCTCCGTCCGGCCCAAGGCTGTCATCGGGAACGGGAGGAGATGCTCCGGGCTCATTCCTGCAGGGCTGGCTCATCCCTGGAAGGGATGAGGATGTGTTTCCCGCTGCTGGACTTGGGGACAGAGATGGCAGCACCCATTTGCTTGGTTGTGCCCCAGAGGAGCCTCAGAYGCCTTTTAGGGGGAAGGCAGCGCATGTGCCTGCTGCAAAATCTGTGTCCCTCACTTTTCCCCATCAGGTAATTCCTGAGTTAAGAGGTGGAGCTGCCCCCTGAGCTTGCTGAGGCCAGCAGGAGTGTGGCATCGGTCCCCTGTCCCCATGCCATGGGCAGGGCAGCCTGGCCAGGGTCACAGCCCCCATTGCTGAGGGGTCCAGTGGGTCCAGCTGCCCTGCAGCCTCCCTGGGGTGCAGAATGGCCAAAGGTCTCATCTCCCAGRTGGAAAACCTTTCCCTTGGGCTGCTCCATGCACTGGCTGCTGCTCACGCTCCTTCCAGGGGTCTGTGGTCCTGCCCTGAGAGCCCCTTTTCCCCAGGGCCGGCTTCTCCCAGCACCTCGGGGCCACAGAGAGAGAGATTTGGCTCCAGCCAGGAGCAGCTTTGTGCCCCTTGAGGACATCTCTGGCTCCTTAGGATGCAGCCATGGAAAAGCCAGCAGTTTTATTCCCCCAGGGAAGGAGGAGGTGGTCTGGAGCAGACCTGAGGGCACTGATGAGGGAGCCACAGGACCAGGCATGGGTAATTAAAAATGTTTTTGCAGAGAATCACACAGGTTTTCCTGTCATGCAAAGAGGTTCTGCTGCCTGCTCTGGAAACACATGACAGAGCCAGGACAGGCTCCCTCTGCTCAGGGGACACCATGGGGACACAGATCTGGACAAGGTCCTAGCTGGGGATGGGAGGGATGGGAATGGGCAGGGCTCTATCCCTGCTTCCTTCCACAGTGCACTGACTCCAGAGGAGCTGCTGCTCGCTGCACGGCCACAGCTCGGGCCCAGCTGGGCAGGAGGGGCTCAGCAGCAGGGGGGACATGGCCAGGAGCCCCTTCTGCCYCCCTCAGGGAGCAGCCAGGGCTGTGATCTGTGATGGGGAATGCCCCGGGGAGGGGTGCAGAGACAACATGGAGCCCCAYGTGCCTTTTGCTCCATGAGGACATGACTTTAGATCTCCAGGAGGAGCTTGGCTCCACTGACAACTCCTCGTGCTCTACCCAGCCCAGCCCCACGGTCCTGAATCCTACCCTGAGCTCTGTCCCAGCCCAAAGCCGGCGAGGGGTGGGGAAAGCTCTCCGTGGCTCAACAGATGGTTTTTTTAATTAATACTCTTGCTGGTGCCACTCATTTCCATATGTCTTCGGTGGTTAAGTGCTGTGGTGGGTGAGAGGTGTGAGTAACAGCGAGGATGGAGCCAGGCGTGGTGCTGGGGGTGCTGGGGGATGCAGGTGCTGCAGGATGAGCTGCACYGGGGAGGGTTTGCTGTGGGTAAAACCCTGCAGGGACACCCGTACTGTGACCCTTTGTGCCCAGCCGTGCCCTCACCAGCCCTGGCCGCCCGTCCCAGGCCGTGCTCTGTGTGTCAGCCCTGCTTGCAGCCCGTGCTGCTCTTGGGGTGTCTGCACGGGGGGTTCAGTGGGGGCAGGAGCGGGTTTAGGGCTCGCTCAGGGGGGTTTGGGATGAAGGGGCAGCAGGGGGASCGGCGGGGGCTGTGTCYCGGCTGCGAACCRGAGCCRGCCCTGGGGTGCTGGGGGGTGCGGRGGCAGCGCTGGGCACCCCAGGAGTGTGCTCGGGGATGCTCGGGGCCTGCTGGCAGACAGCGAGAGAAATAGGGCCGGTCCCTTTAAGAGGATTTTTCGCTGCCTGGCAGCGCTGCCCGCCCGGGCAGCCCATCCATCCATCCATCCATCCTGCCGCCCATCCTGCTCCCCGCCCGGCAGCACCGGCCACGGGGCTGGCGGACAGCGGCACCCCCGAGCAGCCGGGCCCGGGGGGCTGCTGGCCACTGCGGGGCTTCCGCTAGCCACTGCGGGGCTGGGGCCGGAGCGCCCCCCGCCCGCCCTGCCCACCCAGCCCCGCGGAGGGATGGGGAGGAGACCCGGGGCGGGCAGCGCCCAGCCCGGCTCCCGCCTCTGAGCACCGGATCCGCACCGAACCGAGCCAAACCGAGCCGAACCGAGCCGARCYGAGCCGCCCCCCGCCCCGCCGGGCCCCCCGGGCATCGCCCCTTTGTCTGCGGAGGAGCCGAGGCGGGGGCGCTGCGGGAGCGGAGCCGTGCCCGCACCGTGCCAGGTGAGGCTGCGGGAGAGCCGGGACCCTGCCCGGGCCCGGGGGGGCTGGGGACGGAGGGGGCCGGCGGGGAGCGGGGATGAAGCAAGAGCATCCTCGGCAAAGCCTTCCCGTCCCCACCCCGCGCCTCGGGGCTGGGCTAAGCCGCCGAGAGCCGCTTGCGGGATTTAGCGCTCCGTGAACGCCCAGCCGGAGGAGTCAAGGTGAGCCCGAGGGCGCTCCGAGCCCGCTGCCCCCCATCTCCGCCCCCCGAACCCCCGTTCCTGCACCCCGCGGGTGCTGAGAGGGGACCCGCGGGTTGGGAGCCCCCACCCCTCCTTCCACCCCTCCTTCCCCGGGGCTGGGCTGGCTTCCTTCCAGCCCTGAGCGGGATCTGCAGGCAGCAGGGAGTGGGCTGGGGGATCTCCCGCAGCTCCCGGCATCCGGCCGCCCCTCGCCGGGGCCGGGATGAGCGCTGCAGCCGCAGCG